GCAAGACTTAGAAGTGTACACAGGGTACCACTTCATAACACAGTGTTTAATTAACAAACATTGATCCTTCTGAGACATACCTACATGCATTACAGCCCCCTCATTAAAAAGAGGGAAGTCTCCCTAGACCTGTATTTTAGAATTTGAAATACCTGGCCTTATTCAGAGTATATTTTTTACTGGTACTAACTCCTTCTTGAAAGCAAATGCTGCCATGTCTCATGTATATACCTTCTTGGGCACAGTGCATGATTCTTGCTGCTAGTCATGGGAGTCTTTAGCTCCTCTGTCCTATTTTGTGAAAGCACTGCCACCTTCAATTTAATTCTGCAACTGGGAAGTTGCAACATGGGAAAAATAGTCCTTAGTTTCCCTTATTCTCTGGCTAGTTTGTAGTTTTTTACTGGGAAATAAAAGAAGAAAACCTCTCAGGCTTGGCACCTCAGCACAGTCATTTGATACCTCTTTCAGTGACCAGCCCTCCCTGACATAAAGGTGAGCTTTCCTGAAACCCTCCACAGGGACTGGACATCTCTCAGAGCTGCTAAATGCCAAGGTTACCTCCTGCTCTGGCCTTTGACAAGTGTTTTCAGTAGTTTAGGGTCAAAAGGCAAATTTCAGAGACTGGAGCATGAGGCTACTGTGTTCCTCTGAGGTAGCATTCACAAGACTGTGTGGACTAAGCACGGGATGCCAGGAGATGTTGCAAAACTGCACAAGAGCTTGTGCTGATGGAGCAAAATGCCACGGAATACCTGTGAGTTTGCCCAGCCTTCAGAGTGAAATCTTTCCAAGGTGACAGAAGTCACATGAGGAAGGTTGTAGCATCTTGTAAACACTCTGGAGGGTGAAACCAGTGCAGCAAACAAGCGGCTCTCAGCCATTAATTGCCCCAGAAGGGCAGCCAGTAATTTATTAGAATTTATATGAGATTTTGTTACAGCTGTCCATGATATATAGAAGGTATTATCCAAAATTACAATAATGGGGTAGCAACAAAAAAGTCCTTAAACACATGTCAGGAAGAATGATTGCATTAAGAGTGTAGAAAAAGAACTGAAAATTTGCAGAACAAAGAGGCAAGAAACAACACAGAAGGAAATGGAATTTAACACTGTGAAGACAATCTAAGTGATTTCTTCCTGCTGCAAATACCTTTTCAAACTCCAACACAGACATCAGTGCTTTTCTATCCATGTTCCCTGAATAAATTTTTATGGAGCCAGCATAGAATAAATTTTTATACAGCCGGCATAGTAGAAAACTGCCTTGCACACTGTTGCAGGTCCCAGGTGTGAGCTCTCTGGAAAGTGTGCCAGCATTAGCCCAGCCAGTGCTGCAGCACACGGAGCCAGCAGCAGAGCTCCTGTCCCAGCAGTCCTTGGGCAGATGACAGCACCTGGGATTCCCCCAGACACGGCTGTTCTCCAAAGACTTTTTCAGGGAGTATGCAAAAAAGATGCAGGTTTTTCTGCAACTAAGTTGACAGGATCAACAGCCAGATATACCCTGCAGAGAGCTAGTTATGTACTTCTTTTAGATGCTGACATTAGTAATGCACAAACCAGAGAAGTCTTTGAAAATGAAGGAACCACCACCAATGATAATTTTAAAAAAATAAAGCAAAAAATGAAACAAGCTTTCCTGGGACAAAACCTGGAAGTAGTCTCTGTAGAAGTATTCTTTGCAGTCAGTGGCAGAATCTGCCGAAACAGAGAGTGCAGACTGAGGTGGGGCCAGAGGGGAAGAGGGTGACAGTGTCATGATACGCTGCTGTCTCCTTCTACTACCTCCCACTAGCAGAAAACAAACCTGAGAAGGCCCAACTCTTCCTTCACAACTGAATCACAGAAATGCAAACACTGTGCCACAGCCTCCAACCTCTCTCTGTGTTCAGGCTGCCTCTGAACAGCACAGCAAGGGGCATGTTTGGTGCTGCAGGTCTGAACGTGGTTTGCCATTTGCATAGTCAGGAGCAAACACATGGAAAAGCTTAAATATCCCACAAGAGAATCCTCTTCAATTACAAAGCAAGTGACCATTACAAGATGGTGTCAGTATGAAACATCTACATGATTTACACAAAAGTCATTTGGGAAATAAAACAATCCATTAAGGATTAGCAGTGCACTGTTAATGTGATATAACAGGACAAAAATATGCACCTGAACACACAACAAAGGTAGGTCCTGACAGATAAACACAGGAAAGGACAACCCATATTTTCAATCTGTCATATATATCTAGGCATTGTAGCAGAGTTGATACACAGAACTATTTTCAGGGTCAGTAAAGCCTTGAAATATCTATTTAAGACATAAAATGGTGACTGACTGAGAGAAGATGTTTAATTGTTGCAAATCAGTGTAACTTTAGTACAAAGTCAACAGAACTATGTTAAATTATAGCAGCTAGAGACAGGATCTGAAAAAAGTGTGGAGCTCCTAGTTTGTGTTGCAGTTATTTGAAAACAATTGTGCAAGAGAAGTTGGAAGAAACAGGATTGCATTTTACTATTTAATTTAAATTCATGTAACTCTAAAAGTGAGAATGTAAAACCAGAAAGCTGAGAAAACAAACTTTTGGCAATGACATCTGACAACAGCAAAGGAGCTGCATTCTTGTCTTGCACACAGAGCAATAGGAATGATTAAGCTTTAAAACACACACAAATACACACAAGAACACAAATAATCATCCAAGAGCCCAGCACTGTGTCAGGATCACAAACATGTAAGGCAAATAAATATATTTAAAAGATTCTGATACCACATGAGGGAACATTCAACGTGAGGTTAAAACATTTCTGAAAGAGAGAGGCTTTCCTTTCTCCAGCCAGTTGCAATGTTTCATTCTCCCAGAGCAATGGAAGTGAAGGAGGCAGTGAGGTAGCACATACAAGGTCACCCATCACGTTAGTGACTTAGCAGATGTAAGCAAATCTCTCAACTCAGAAACTGGATTTTGCACTTAAGAATACCACTTGCAGGAAATCCTCATGCCTTTTACTGGTAAGGGCACTGGAAAAAGTCAGTGTTGCAAACAGAATATTGCAGTCATAGCAACAAGCAATTCAACACTTAAACTTTGCAACAGACAAGACAGTATTTTACTTCTGGTTTTATAATTTCAAGGTCAACAACTCATTAATAGCACTTAACCTGTCTAGCTGGTTATCAATGTCTCAAAAATAATCTCCTGTTAAAGCCTCAGACAAGGAAACCTCCTAATTCAAATAAAAAAATATAAGTATATGTATACATAGAGACCACTTCAAAAATTACACCTTTGTTCTCCTTTTCTGGAAATAGAAAAGAAGGATGGAGAAAAGCCCAAGTCCATTACATCAAGTGCTAGCCTTTCACTAGTAATTAGCAGGCTATAAAATGCTACAATCAGGTACACAAAGGCATTGAAATTGAGATTTAAAACACCAAAAAACCCCTTCGACCTTGCAACAGTATCTGTAAGTAGTGCCCAAACAGCACAGCAAAGCCAGTAAAAGCCAGAAAAGTCTCTTTGACCCTTTCCATTTTCAGTAAGGACTTTTAAAAAAATATTTTTACATTTCTATCAGTAAAAACGCATTTGAAATCCAAATCTTAAGGCTAAAAATAGGACAAAATGTGCTGCATGGTTGATGAAATTTAACCCTGTTAATTAGATACCTTCATTTCACAGTCAGTAAGAATCTAATACCACCCTAATAAATGTACCCGTTTTTTTGCAAAGCATCATGCATGAACACAATTGAAATAGTGCTTTTTTAAACTTTTAATGACATCAAAATTAATTTCTGCAAAAGAAACCACTGTTTTCTCAAAGCAGCAGAAGAAAATATAGAATTGGAGATGTTTAAAAGAAGGTAATGCCTAATGCATAAGGGCAACTTTTGATCTCTCTCAAGTGTACTAAATAACATCCACCTGAATTTTAATGCTCAACAAAGGTGCTAACTTTAATGAATCAACTTAGGTAGGTAGTTAATCATACAAAGCTTTCATTACCCTTTCCTCTCTTTTTGTACTTCTTTACTGCAGTGAAAAAGCTGAATTTGAAGGAACAGATAGCAGAGACCCTTGGAGAGCTCAAGGGCTATCCTGCCTTCTTTGCCACTTCTGATAACTTAATTGCAGTGCAACCCCACAAATCAGTTTCACTGATTGACCCTACAAACTGGGTGTGGACTCAACGTTGGTAGCAGCACATGCTGAGAAGCTCCACAAATGACAGCGAAGGACAGAGCATGAAACAGACACAAAAATGTGTTTACATGTTCAGGAATGGCAGGGACCTTCTCTAATTCCTGGTTATTTGGATTATGTTTGATAAGTAGCACCAATATCTATGGAGTTTATGTGCCATGTAACTGACAGTTACTCAGCAGTAAGATTTTTTTAAGCCTCACTGGTCACAGTTTTCTCTATATTTTTTTGTTTGTTTGTTTGAAATGCTTTTTGAATTTCTTTCTTTATAAATCACAGTAAGGAACTGGGTAAAATACTGAGTAAAATACCTTCTCTTTTTCAACTTCTTACAGATTTTGGGATGTCTTGTGACCTGCCTGCCTGGATACTGCATAATCACAGCCTGACTCTGCACTCCAGGATTTACCAAGAGGTTTTCACAGCTCAGATGGGGTTGGCTGGAAATCTTAACAAGTATGTCCCTTGAACACACGTGTCAGTGGAGGAGGACACTGTGCAAGTGTAAATGTGAAGAAAGCATGGAAGCAAAATCCATTTATTCTAAGGATTGCTAGTAGGTGACTGGTGACCAGCCTACAGGGAAATGTCTGGTGATCATGAGATGCCATGCAGCACTCTGGTTATTAGGCCTCATACATAAGGCAGACCAAAGAGGTGTGCAACAAGGGGGACCTGGTAAAACATGGGGGATGTTGAAAGACTGTTGGGGATTTTTGATAGGAAAAAGGAAAAACAACCTCCACATTACACAAACAGGACACTTGAAAAGCCACAGAAATATTCCATACTTACTTTTATCTTCCTGGTTTTCTTCTGCCGCTTTGCCTTCCGCTTCCTCCTCCTCCTCCTCCTCCTCCTCCTCCTTCTGCTGTGCTTCTTCGTGGTGGTCGGCAGCGCCGACTGAGAGGCTCTGGCAGCAGTGGTTGAAGCCGCTGTCCCGAGGCAGAGTGAAACTTCGGGGCTTTCCCCCATTCCCGTTCAGCACTTGCATCCGCTCGCCCTCCACCAGGGGGAAGGGGCCGTAGTGGTCTTGCAGGTGGCACTTCTGGGTGGGCAAGGTGGACTGCCGCCGGTGCTCGGGGGACACCACGGCCACCTCGGAGAACACGGAGTCCTCCAGCGGCAGCGTCTGCAGGTAGTGCAGTCCCGAGCTCGTGAGCGGCGTCTCGATGAGGTCCTGCCAGGAGCGCCGCTGGCTCGCCGTCTTGCGCACCGGGGACTCGGTGGCGCTCCCCGCCACCTCCGGGCGGAACTCCTCGTGGGACGACTGCGACTGCGACGTCTCCGTGGACGACAGGCGGCTGTGCTTGGGCTCCACGTAGGGGCTCGTGCAGCTCATCTGCAACAACAACAACGCGCAACCTTCGGGTCAACGCCGCTAGACCTGACGCTAGTCATAACCTGCCACTGTCAGCCATGGCACCCGGTTCATTAATAAGTTGCAAACTTACCTAATTAACCTGTCCTGATCCTAATTTTAACGCATACCCATGGCTGTATGTCACACCTGTTGGCCAAGTACTGATAGTTATTCATAGTAAGTATCTTTACTATGTCACTTAATCCATAAAATAAGCCATGAAAATTTGCAGAAATGTTGCAAAATATGGCACTATGGAAGACATAGAAAAGATGTACCTCATTCAAAACCTTAAAAATGCTATCCAAATGCCTGTTATCCTATTTTGCTTTTCTTTGGAATCATGCTTGCAGTGCTTCAGCACTGTCATTCAAAGATCTATAATTTTGTAAGATAAAGTGCTGCCTTTAAATTAAACATCATGAATGTTCTCTTTCCTCTGAATTTCCCCATTGTTCATTCCAAAACCCATATTGAAGTAAGATGTATTAGTTAACACTGAGTATGCAGAGATGGAAGTTAAAACTTCCAGTGGAGAGTAAGTTAGAGGTCTATAATAAGGTTTTATATCAACAAATGCTTCAAGAAAAATAAAAACAAAACTCCCCTTTTTTTCTAATTTATATGTTTCTATAAGAGAAACCTACTTTTTCACAATAAGAGAACAGCTGGTGTTGCTGTTTCCAATACATGACAGAACATTTTTATGCTGGCATTTTCTCTGGAAATTCAAGTGTAATTTGTTACTGTAATGCTTCACAGCACAACTGCTGGAGCCTTATAGAAGAGTCTGTGTTGTTCCTGAGGTAATAACATTCTCTCAGAAAGTCGATAAGGGGGTGGTGAAGGATTGCATGGATGAGTAGCTGTCCATCATGAATGAAAAACAAGAAGAATGACTTCTGTAACTTACTCTATTTTGTACAACAAGTGGGATTATAAATCCGTGCTCTCTACAAACCAGTGGAAAGAGCAATGGTGGCCATTGGTGTTGCTTAACCAATGCCTTAAGTCAAGCACCGACTAAAGAACACATGTTTGGGTGCCACCCTGGGCAGGAGAGCAGGCAGAGGTGGCACTTCGGGCACACGTTCCTGGGGACAGCTGCAGGGGACTCACTGAAGGTGGCCGTGGGTACGTGTCGTACGGGGGCGGGGGGCTGTCCTGCTTCGGTGTTGATGGAGTGTCAGCCTCCTCCTTGTCACTCTCACTCCAGTAATCTGCAAGTCACACAAGGATCAGGTCAAAAACTGCCAACACATTTTGATGCAGTTTTGTATCAGAGATTTGCTTTCACAAAAGCAACATTAAATTCCTGCTTTAGTATTACTGGCAGTGAAATACCAGAATGGTGATGCTGTCAGTGTTAGCTGCTGCAACTTGGAATTGTCTTAATCTAAAGAGGGAAAATTCTAAATATTGTGGAGTATGCTAAACCTAATGTCCTATTATAGAGCTATGGACAACAACCTGAAAATGAGACACAAATTTTACCCTTGTGCACATCTTAAAATGCAACAGGCATATAGGATACTCTTAACACATGTATCAGACTTTCAAATATTTATACCGCCACAAAAATAATTATGATTGGGCATGTATTGGCTGAAAAATACAGAAATATCTTTGAACAGAAATGATTAAAAAAATAGCTTTGATAAAGTCTGCAAATAACATCAACAAATGTATTTAATCAACTGGCAAATCAAACAGATAAGAGTTATTGCACCCATGAATAATCAGTGCTATTTTTCTATCCATTTTCTCCATTATATTCTACCATTTAGACATGTTTTTCAATTCAATTTTTAATAACAAACAGCTGTATTTGAGGCAAGACAGAAAAACTTTTTATCACGTATCTGCATCATAAAACAGCTGCTGCCCTGTTGTCCATGCAAAACCATAAAGGTGATATGGTAAGGAAAAATATGACAATGACATTTAAGAACACAGTTCAAAAAGAAGGATGAGAAAATATAAAGGATACAGATTTTGTGGGTTAAATTAAATGGGCCACAGCATTTAATTTTTTCAGGAAATCAAGCCTTGGCCAAGCTTATTTCAAAAGAGAAAACACATAGAAGAATATACTACAAATGAATTTATTCTTTTACAAAGATTTTTTGAAGGAGAACAGCATCTAACTAAAAGGACACTGAACCTTAATATTCTCTGAAATAAAATCCCCTAGTTAACTGCTAACTTGGTTCAAGACAGACAACTCTTAACATTTTTGCACATTGTAAGACTTACGCAAACATTTCTGTTGTCACTTCATTTCTGACTGTATTACCTTCCAGTACTTGGGTAAATCATTGTACAACAGGACACTACAGCTCAGACTGCTTACAGATTATTCACAGGCAATTTTCACTTCACCTCAAGAGTTTAACTAAGTGCATCATTTACTACTCTTCCTTTGATAGATAAGGAGAAAATGATTGATTACTGCTTCACAAATGATCTAAACTAAAAATCCGAGCTGGCACAACATGTAATTTTGTCTTTAATGATTTTTTCTTACAATTACTGTATGCTATGATCAAAAATCTACCATATTTAATCTTATTCAAGACTTAAAACATAAACTTACCTTTAAATTACAGAATCTTGAAACAGGAATCTCTATAGTTTTGTATTTTTTTAGATTTTAGTATTGGTGGGGATAGCCTTATTTATCTATTCAGTTTTTCCACACAATAGCAATTCTGTTTTTACTCCAAGCCTTTTCATTTCCTTCCTGCAAGCTTATAGCTGAGACTTGCTCTTTAGACAGTATAATAAATAAGTTGCATAAATAAAATTTTCATGACTACAAAATAAAAAGAAATCTTAACAGTTATGTCTCTAGACATCTGCAAATAATTATTTTCTGGTGAATGAAAAACTAAATCAGTGAAAACTCTTTTTCTAAATAAATCCTAGTTTTATGAAAACTTGTTTCCAGCAACTTAAAACAGTTGAAAATTTTGGCATGTAGGCATGTTTGTTCCTATTGCAGCAAAACCTAATGGTCTGCTGTGTGGTGAGAGACCTGTCAGAACTGCATTGTTCAGTGACATTTCTGCAGACTTGGAGCTCAACTGTTTATTCCGAAAGCAAAATTTAGCAGTCTCAGTGCAGGTTCCAATTTTGGCTAAAAATATGAAGGTGTTCTTGCTGTCAAATCCACATACAAGAGAACGCTGTAGGATGATGCTTTTGCACACCTTACCTCAGACAGAGAATTCTGTTGGCAGCCTATAGCTTGTCTTGAAAATTTCTGCAGTAACAGGGGTCAATTTTCAGATAAAATATATGAAAATGGTCTCCCACCAATTTTTATAAATGGTCTGCTTTTAGCAACTGACTCATTATAGTCCATCTAAAACATGTATGATGCCATGAAACATCTGCTGTACTTCTCTCTGTAGATTTATCCAATTCGGTGATGGACAAGCTCTATGCATCAGGCATATTTTGTAAGTTTTCTCAATGACTAACAGACTGAATATATTATACATAAACCAACACTGACCTGCCATTTCCTGAATAAATATACTCTATTTATATAAACTAGGGATCTTTCCTTTCTGATTTATGTGACTGGAAAGTATATAACTTCTCCATCCAAGGAAGTCCCTTGATGTATTGCTAACATGCATTGTATTTCAGATGAAAAGTTGAAGGTATTTTTGTAAAACTGTTCTGTACAGAATGTAACATTTTATTCAGCAGTACACCCACAATTCGATGATTCGTGCATCTCTGAAGCTCTTGAAATGTATTTATGAACTTTAGATTCAGAACCATTCAACTCTTAATTGAGGCAGATTTGACAACTCCTGTTGAATTGTTTCAGAGGTATTAAAAAGCTTTGCTGCAAAGGGCTGAACCACACAGAAATAAAAGAGCTTTTGTCAAATCAAATATACAGATGACAATTGATACAGTCACTGAATATAGAAAATTCCAGCTTCACAGTTTCTATAATTGCAAAAATGCTCGAAGTGATAGAGAGGTTTTACTTTGCTAACTTGATGCCTTTGCTAATTAGGGGCACTATTGAGCTGTGTAACAGCCCTTGTGTTGGGAGCCAAGGAAAATCAGCAGAGGCATTAAAACAGTGTAGAGCAGAGAGGGGAGGATCTGCCTCCCACATGAAACACAACTAAGCAACACAAAGAGGGTACAGTTCTACCTACCTGCCTACAACAAATCAACATGAGTGAATGGTGTTAGAGTGGTAATAACGAACTCTGTCAGTGCCTGGGATATAATCTGCATAGTCAGTGGGGTTTCACTGATTATCTTCAATAGGGAGACATTTTAATAATAAGCTTTATTGCACATCATCTCATGTCTATCTGGATCATCTGCTATTTTATTACTCAGTGATTTCTTAGTAGTAAAAATATTTCTCCACGTCCATCTGGATTTTGAAAGGTGTATCATGTGTGTAAATGTGCACTTGGACAACATTAGCATAACATACACCTTTTCACTTACTGCCCCACATGGCATTGTAATTCTAGTGCCAACCTGCTGTCAATAAAAATTGTAATTTGGCTTTGAATGCCAAAATAGAGGATTTCCTTGAAGACTCTGAGATTCAGTTTGTTCACAGCCTCTTCAAGCAGTGACAACAGATGGTACACAGGTTCTTTCAAACAGGTTACTGTAGTGATGCTTAGGAAATACGGATTTCCAAACTTATTTCCAGGTCTGGTGAGGCACTGAGAACATGACTGAAGAACAGTGAGCATGGTGCTGCTGGGTACTCCAGGTTGTGTAAATGCAGAGGGCCTGAAATGACCTGAGTTTTTTGGCCCAAATCCCAAAATCTTTCTAATGAAGCCTTCAGAGCCACAGAATTAAAAACTGAGGTTTTAACTGAGCAGAAAGGCATCTGGATAAGCTCTGGATCATCATGACCACGGCAATTTTCTGGTGCCTGCTGCTGGGTACATATGTTAAAAAGAGCATGAATTCAAAACCTATCTGCTTGTCAAAGCAGATACTTGGATAGGAACCCTTCTGTGCATCCATATCACTGGCAATTCTAAGAAACAACCTCCGTAACACCAATGGACTGACCCTTTCTTTTTTCTGTGTGCAAATAGAATTTCTGCTGCAACAGTTCAAAGAAAATTGACACATTATTTTATATATGCTGCTTTTTTAACCCATTAAATATTAGGCATAAAAAATAAACATATAAAATGTAAGCCTACAACTCCAAATGAAATGCTAACAAGGCTGTAGCACACACTACAATACAGTAAAACCAGCAGGAATAATGAAATTTAAGTAGCCTTAAAATTAAAGTCCTTAGAGTAAATCCAATTGTCTCAACAGGCTTTAGAAAAGTGGTTTTGTTCCCAAGAATAATTCCATGAACTCCTGCCCTCTGTGAATTCAAACACAAATGCAATGTTTAAATTTTTTTTTTTAGCCTACAGATTCTTAACTTTCTTCTGATAAGGGACACAGATTCCTTGATATCATATAGTGGAGCTTACTGGCAGTATATCTGCTTTTTTAGCTACCTTTTGCAACCTTCTCAGAAATAATCTCAGAAGTGTCTGCAGATCAGAGTCTGAAGGAATTAGTCAGAACTCTTGACAGAGAAGGAATTCTCTAAAGCAATAACAGCAATACTCATATGTGATTTGTTTTCGGATGACAAGAATGAGGCCTGATACACAGCAGGGGAAAGAGAATAGATGAACCTGTGATAAGAGCTGACAGAAGAAACCGAAATAACAACACATTACCTTGCTCTTGTTTGATCCTCTCTCTTTCTGCATAGCCAGCAGCAAGCATGTTAATTCTGTTGAGCCATCTGAAATAATATTAAAAAAAGCAGTGATACCGATCCAGCCTCTTAATTTTGCGTGCATTTCAAGCAAAAACAAAGCTAGAAGCATCTGAAGGAGATTAAGGACAATGTTATTTTTCATATCAGACAGCTGTTCTCTTTGATACTCTTATTCAGGGAGTCTCCAAAGATCTATGATTTTGCTGTTGAACAAACTGTTTTCACAGCAAGAATTTTATTTCAAATGGAAAACCATGTATGATGATGTCAAACATCTGTAAAATAAAGGATTTAGAGATAATCAAAGAGCTGTTAAGTCTCCTGCTCACAGATATGCCATCGCACAAATACTCCTGCTGTTCTGATTTCTTAAGAATAAATACCACTTTTCAGAGATTTAAGCAATATTTTAAGGCCTGAATTGGCAACTTAGCAGTGGGAACAGAGCAGAAAACAGCAGTAAAAAGAACAGGTTCACTCCCAAACAGACATTGTGGTTTAATTATGCCATTTTATTTTAGAGCTTACCTACAGTGCTGTGTACAAAGAGAAGGAGGCATATTAGAATTCACTTTTGTGTTTGTGTCAGAGAAATGCAGGGAAAAAGACAGTTGCTTCAATACAATTCACATCTAAGGCTTTAATCTCAATTTAGCGTTGAAAAAGTGCTTCCATAAACTGCACAAATTAAGAAAAAAGCCCAAACAAAACCATATAAAAAATCCCAGCACCCAAACACAAAAAAATAAAACCCCAAAAACCCAAACCAAAAAGCAAATCAGCTATTGCTGCTCTCTTCTAGTAGGGCTGTCACTGCCAAGCATACACTGAACTGTCTGTAGCAGGGCAGTTTCAACCTGTGCTCTTCCCCCATGGGGCTCTCAGTGTATTCATCAGCCAAATGCTTACACTGAATCAGGTCCTTCATCAACGAGGCTTTAAACCACCATGGCAATCTCCCGTGTTGTCCATTCCATGGTAAACCTGGAATTACTTGCTCCAGTCATCCCATAGTCAGAATTTGACAGGCCTGGTTTGCCAACCTACTGGCTTGCAATTTAACTGCTAGGGTATACAGAAAGACAAGTCCAGTCAGGTTTGAGTTTTCTTCAAGAATGGGAAACCCCCATTTCAGAAACCTGTGCCTGATGGGTTTTGTTTGCATACATGCACAGAAACAGGATGTTTGTCTGGCAGAGGACATACCTTTGTAATGTCTCCTGCATGCCTGTCTTCAACTATTGCAGTGCAGGGCAAGCATCAAATCATAAAATACCGTTGCTTTCCTAGAAATTAACTCCTGTCATCATGGAGTCAGAAAACTACAGAATGCTTTAGGCTGGAAGGATCTTAACAATCTTGTAGTTACAAATCCTCCTGGCATGGGCAGGGACATTTTCCACTCACTGTCACTGTCTTTGCACAAACAGTGACCACATATTTGATCTGTAAACCATGCTAATGCTAATCATTACACATTAGGAATAAAACTAGGGATTTGCTCCTGAAGTGATTGTAGAATACTTCAAGTTACCATACAATCAAGATTTCTGACAGAAGAATAGGGAAGCTGAAGAGGACACTAGAATTTGAGTTGTAATGGTTAGGAAGTGCCATACAGCTGTAAAAACAAGCAGCATACAGGAACAGAAATTCAACAAACCTTATCTCAGACAATGATGTCCAACCTTCAAAGCCAAAAGATGATCCACTACAAAGCCATATTTTAGGCTCACATTCTTGATATATGAAGACCTGCTTTGAGCAATAAAGTTCAGCTGCCAGCTGAGCCAGCTCTGCCAGCTCAAATCAGAGGCACAGAGGCAGGGATCTCACCCAAAGCACTCCAGCCCCGTGCTGCAGAGGGACCAACAAAGGCCACAGGGTAAAGCAGCACAAGATGACAAGCATCTGCTCTGTCAAATGGCACAGCAGACACTGGGGATGGTGCTTTGCTTGCCTCTCACCTAATTCAGGGTTTCACATTCCCAGTTCAACTCCCGGTTTACCACCCTCACCTGCACTGCCAGAAGGGAACAGCCACCTATGATCCCCACTGGGTAGGGCTGCTAACCACAAAGCATTAGACAATTGAGTTATAAGGGTTCTCCTGTCCTTCATTCTGTCATTAACATGAGATAGCATTTCCTGGTAAGTTTGCTTATTATTGAGGTAACCAATTAAATTAATGAACTGACAGCCAATTGATGCTGCTTACAGAGATGACAGATGATGGTTCCCAGAAAAGCATTATTTCCTGAAAAGTAAAATCTAATGAGACCCCAGGAAATGTGTAGCATTCTCTCACTCTCTAGAGAGAGAGCAGGCTTACTTCACCTTTAATGAATTTCTGCAGCTCATGATCTGTGCTGAGGTTTGGACTATGACCTGCAGTGCCTGTGGGGTGAAGCAGAAGGTGGCTGCAACCACTGATGTGGTTGTACACTGTGAAAAACCACAGCTTCTGAGCAGTTTGCCAGTCTGGAAACTAAAGGAATGGTATTGACTTCTTCTGCATATTTTATGATATGTGGCTGCTAAAGCTTCTTCAGATAGGGTTGGGGAATCAGTATTATTTTAATAAAGCATGGCCAGAGTTCTGGTTTGTTCAAGTTAGAATTGTAGGAGAAATCCAACACACTAGACTTGTATCAAAGAGGAAACGTACAGATTTCCTGCAGAATGGAAGAGGAGTAATACATGCCTGGGTTACAATGCACTGGGGACAAAAGTTCCAATCATACAGCTACACAAATATTTCTTAATATGCATATTAATAGATACAAAGCCCTAGCACATGGGAAGATTTCTATCTTTCTTCCCTTCAGTTTGTGTGTCCTGGTAGGCACTGTAACATTTGGAGGGCAAGAGGCCAAGAAAATACTGCTTCTTTAGAGCAAATGCAGCTTCATGCACAATTTTTTTGGTGACAATTCTAAAATCTGTTTTCTAGGTATAACAATAAATACAATGTCACTGGTAACTGCAGTGCTAACTGCAATAGTCATTCAGGTTTCCTTTTTTCTTTTTTTTTTTCTTTTTGAGAACAGCACATTCATTTCTTATCAGTATTTAATTAAAACAGTTTTATGACACATAGAACAGGATTAAAACCCCCTGACTTTCTGAATGCCAGTAACTTCTGCAAGGAAGGATGCACAGTACTCTCACAGACTAGTAGAAAACATTTCTCTACCTTATGTCACATTCAGGAGATGCAATACTTTTAGTCAAAGCAGGATGTCAAATTCTCCTTAATCATGAAACTCAAGGCTATAGGATGAACTTGATGCATGGGAATTTGGATACCTTAGAGTGTCTATGAAAACCTGAATGCAGTTGAACCAGAGTGAAGCAAATAACAATGAATTTCCAAGCAACACGTTTCCATGACCACACATTTACCCTAGAAAAAAAGTACTTTGCATCTATAAAGGATGTTTCTGTGCTTCTTTTCACATAGAAAAAGCATGCTAATAGGTAAAAAGAACATTTTTCTGGTGTTACCATATAGACTAAAGGGACTTCAGATGCCACAGCAAAAAAATTTAGTGATTATACCTCCCCAGACTCCTTACCAGCACCATGGTGTGGCACAGTCATAAAAGTAGTAAGAAAATTTGAATAGTGGCAGAATTACCTGAGATTAAAATACCCATTTTATGTGAGTAGATACACACAAACAAAAACTTCATAGCTGGCAAACATTTTTAAAATATAAACAACTGAATCATTTCATACAAGGGATGAAGGAATTGAGCTATTTTGAATTTTCAGTCATTCTATGTATTAGCAGTTTTCTACTGCTGTTTCTTCTAGTTCAAATATAAACAAAACTGATAACTAGAATTTATGTCAGAAACTTGACAAAAAACCCATAAAATCATCAAAAGATAATTAATTTAACTTCATAATTTCATGCCATGTTTTACTTCATCTACGCCTCAGAATACTTTTAGAAAGGAAGTATTTTACTATCCCTGCATTTGAAAGACTATTTTTCAGTCACTTTTTCCCATCTATTGAGTTAATCTAATATTTGAGAAAGTGAACTAATTTTTCTAAAACATTAAACAAAGAGAAAAAAATAAAATTATTTGGTGAGACTCTGACGGCAACTCAAATATAAGAATTTCAAGTAATTCCACAGACCCTGACAGAGTTTGAATTTACATGTGTATAACTCAGATCCAAACTTTGTCAAGCTCATTCTAAAGGAATTAATAAGCACTAATTTCAAAATATGATAAAAAGACTATTTGTGGTGGGAAGATAAAAATATTTTAATTTCCGGTTTTATACTGCGCAATATATTTTTAAAATATTGCTACACATTTGCTGCTGCTTTCTGTTTACTGAAAAAATATATAAATTTCTATCCTTAAAAGGAAGGTGCCTTGTCATACGGAGTGAGGACCTGCTGACAGAAATGATTCAGCTACTGCTGTTGCTCAGGATACGTTGAATATTGACCAAGCCATTATTGTGTTTGTTGTGGAACAAACTGCATTTTGAGTGACTGGCGTGACAGAATTATCATGGAAAGGCAAGCCTAAAACTTCACAAACAAATAAAAAGGTTTAAAGTTTTCTAAGTGTGAAGAGACTTTTGAAATGAGCCTCAGTCATGCACAAACTTCTGAAAAACTGTTAACAGACAGCTATTTCTAAAGGCACAGTATAGTATCAGCATGGCTTTCCACCCAAATATTATCTGCAATGAACTGGCAGTATCCTGAAGGTGCTCTGCCAGGTAGTTGAATCTAGTACTCACAGGAGAAATTAAACCATGTTAAGTTTTATTGATTCAGTTTTATCTTTTTCCTCTGTTTTGAAAAAAAGCTGTGGTCAGCGAGGATATCAACAGACATTATCCAAGACAGAACAATTCTCAGGTTGCAATAATAGATTTTTGTTTGTGTCCTCTGTCATTTGATGAAAATGGCGTAATATTTTGAACTGAATTAATGTCAGTTTATATTGTGAAATAAATGAAATAATCCCCCTAATATCTGAATAAACAAGGAAGTCATGTTCTAATTTACCATTCAAATGAATTAAGAGGAATTGTGTTTATTTTGTGCTGAAGTCTCAATCATTTTTCTGAAAAATTTCACAAGTGGCCAAGAAGAGATACAGTAAAATTTAATACTCAAAGAACTAATACTTTAGTACTTGGTTTTTTGTTTATTTTTAAATGCTGACATTTTTCCCCATCAAATTCAACACAACCAAAATTTGACTTCCAAGTTCATGGAAGTAGAGGGAATCTGCAAAATTCATTACTTGGAACCTCCACTCCTTTTTCAAGACTGGCATAAGAAAACCAGTGACTGCTTTAAATCTTTCTCCAAATTCTTACTCCGTTCAGGACAAGAAACAGAAGGACTCCCAGAGGAAGCCTCATGTGTTTGGGAGTATGTAAGGAAGCAGTTAGAGATATCTCACCTTTGCAGGTGCCACATAACCAAAACCAGAAATCTGGAATTCTGAAATTGTGTTTGGATGTTGCTTCACACACTGTATTTATTTCTTTTTAGAAACATGGAATCATGTTTCTAACAATTTCAAACTTTTGTATCATAGAAGAGGTAATTCTTTTGAATTAAATAATTAACATAATGAAGCCAGTCAGGAACAATGTTTCTCTGTACCTATTTTCTCAGCAATTAAACTTATGTTTTTAGATTAACAAGTAATTTATTATAGCCATGTTATTAGTAGCTTCAAGAAGTGTCACATTTATGGAATGGGTCCTTGAACTTTGCTAGATATCCTTACCTGTTCATATCATCTAGATGTTCAGCAGCAAAATAAAAACTTTTGATCTTAGGATGGCAGGCTTTGAATGCACTGTAGAGGAAAAACACAATTAAAAAATGTAATGGCACAACTCTTTTTTTTTTTTTTTCTGAAAAAAAGTCAGATCATATGGTAATCAAGGAATGAGATGAATTCATATTTCTGCATGCTCCCAAACAGTGTATGAACATACAACTTTTAGGATTGTGCCAGGTTTCACCAACTGAAGTGCTCTTCAACTACCCTTCTAAATAATCCTTGATTCATATGTGCATAAATAATTGTTCAACCATCACCTGCAATGTACTGTATGTGGATAAAGTTCATCAGTTAAGGATATAATTTTATGTATTGGGTAATTTTGCTGATGTACATATAGCTGTCATTTTTTTCTGAACAGAAAACTACACTAAACAATTAATTCAATACAACAGTAAAATTCTCAATCCTAGTGATTTCTCATATCCCAATGACTTTGACATTACCTTTAGCTCTAATGACTGCATTTCGAGCAGGAAATTGTGATGTGCTGATTGACTTCTGAAAAGCTGTCATAAATCAACAGTGTGTTCATGAGGTCATCCTAAGCAATGGGCAATTACATCTCATCTCTCCTTTCCACCAAAGTAATCAACATGACTGGGTTGAGAGAATTACTGCATTTCATACATAATATGAAATAAATTACTAGAAAGAATCTTTTAACTATGTTGGATAAAGATTTATCGTGAAGCACCTGAAGCCCCAGAAAATGCATTTGAAATAATGAATAATTTACAGTAGAGAATAATCATTTTGAGAATAACCTGAAAGTGTCTCTTAACAACAAAAAATGTAACAGTCCCCCCAAAAAAATACGGAAAACTGCAAGCATGATACATGATGAGTATCATCACCATTTTTCTGAGACATAATGGATTTTATATATATATGTATATTCACACACACATATGTAATGTAATAAAATAATTCTCACTCTCTAATCAATTGTGCCTCAGAAAAATAGCAATGACATTCTTCATGCTTATCATGCTTGCAATTTTCAATATACGTGTCTGTGTGCATACAGATGTACACACATCTATGTTTTGGAAATCAGGCAAATGAAATTGATAACAGGAAAGTTACTGCTAGAGAAGGCAACATAACATTGAGACTAAACAGATTCCTCTAACACATGACAGCAAACAGTGTTATGCAAGTCAAAGAGATGTACAGCGACATCTGCTCAGTTTAGAAAGACATCATCAACTCACTGAAACCTAAAACTGGACTTCTTAAAACTGTTACAGCATCTCTCATCTGGATTCTTAGAAGGTTTTTTCCTTTCATCTTCCACCCAAGCTAAGAATCTTAATAACCACATTTTATGTGCTGCTATTCAATAGACATTAAATCAAGTAAAACCAAACAATTTAAGCAGGGTGCAATTCTGAAAAATGAGTTGACTTTATGCTGCTGGGCCAACAAAAAAGAAACAATGAAGCACTTTAGCCATGTGGCCCAAAGACAAAGGACAACAGGTTCAAGCCAATGTCTCCTTTTTTTTTTAAATCAGTTTTTATCTTCTACCCTTTGAGACCACCTTGAAGTGTAGAGCTCATCCTAAAGAGAGATACAGATCAACTGATACAAGGTTGGTGCTTTCTGTTGAACTGTAGGTAGCACAAATCATATCGTTTTACATTTGAAAATTATGTTTTGCATGAATTTCAGCAATTCCAGCCTTTTTTAAAAAACTGAGGAAATCATTAGAAGGCAAGGCAAAAAATTTTGAACAATAATGACTCTAAAAATATCTCTGTGGGAGCATGCACCTGTCACATTGCTACACATGCTTGAATTTATCTAAATAATAAATGGGTTTGTGCAATGGCACAAATCTGGATAGCAACATAAACAGGTGAGAAGAAATGTTCTTTGAGACCTTTATGTCATATAACAAAAATACAACACATCACTGTCATCCTCTTTTTTTTTATTCTGCCTCAGGACTGAAATAATGTCTCAGCAAACTTTGAGATTATGCTAAATAATTTGGAGTTACATTAAATATGAATGCCTGGCCATGAACTTGGGGACTTTCATATTTGGATGGTCTCCGTATTATGCTTAAAGCTGTTTATTGAGTATAAAGCACACAAAGACTCTCCAACCCTCAACAAACGAACAAAAATAACAGCAACCCCTAAAAGAAAGGAAAAAATGGAAAGTAAAACCAGGAAAATAAGGGGACAGAAGCAGCCAGGCAGCCTTCTTGCTCATAATTAATTTTGGTCTAGTCAATCACTGTGGTTCACGATGAAGTGAAAAGATAGCCTTCTTTGGGCAAGATGGCACTCCAAATAGAAAGAAATAATTTGCTCTTTTTATATGAGCTTATTCTGTGATACAACCTCATGGCAATTGCAACAAAGCCCATTATCTCCCTGTTTTAAGGGAAAACCTTGTCTTTTGTTTGCACTTCATTATTGTCTTCATTGTTGTATCATTGCATTATTTTGAGCATGCTTACTATTTCTTGCGGCATTCACTGGCTCTGTCAATTTTAAATTCAGGTAGACTGATGAATCCTTCTGCTTTTTCATCCTGCAAAGATAGTTCCAGATATTACTGTAGCTAAAGTGTAAGAAAAAAAAAAAAAACAGCATGCTGAAAACTTACAAATATTTTCACTTGCCTGCTTCTTACAAAAGGAATACTACTGTCTGCTCTGCTCTGGCAAACCCCCCACAGAAGTCACTGGGACTTCTGCCGAAGTAGCAAGACAGATCCCTTGGTGAAAAATACTATTTTAGATACCTAGTTTTCTGAAACAATTTCACAGCTGAACCAACATTTGAAATTATACAAAATGACCAAATGTATTCAGTCAAATTAGTTATTGTAATTAGTTAATTTTTGGGGAAAATGGACTAATTAGTGTAGAAATGCAGCCTAGTGGAAGAAACAGAAAAAAAGCAATTTCGATGGGTGTTGTTCATCATTTATATGTATCACAGCTAAGAGGCATGATATCTCTTTAGCTACTTTCATCTCTCTACAACATTCAGAATGTATCTGACCTTCCTCCCCTCTCCTCTGAAGATTTTACAGAGTTTATTTTATCAGCTATGCAATTTCCCTTGACTTTTCACAGTTTCAAAGCATTATTTATATTAAGCTACTATTATATCAATAACACAAGACTCAGTATTTAACTGCTCATAACTTTGCATGCAAAATTAATACAAGATCATAGAAATGAAGCTGGAAAACACACAAACATATGTGAAGGAATTCCACAAATATACATCTTTTCCTAAGAGTTGAAATGGTTATTTACACTACATATGCAGTCCATATGATTATATGCCTTCCTAAAAACAAGTAAAAGGAACAAATCAGCACATAAAACTGGAGATGGAGTCATTATGTGGAAGGTACAGGGTTGTAACTGGTTCTGAATTAGCAGGTATTTTAAAATCAAAAAGACACTGTTTAGAATAATCTTGCTATTTCTTTTTTGAATGGCTGCCTAGAGAAACAGAGTTTTGGCAAGAGCAGTGTTTGCTTGTCTGTCCACCTGCCACTGAGGCACCCCCTACCAGCCTTTGACTCTACTGGTGATGACAGACACTGTGCTGAGGTCTCAGAAATAACCAAAACTCAGAAAACCTCAGGGAAGGCTGGGGTAGGGTGGGAGACAGAGGTGTTGAGAGCGCTGCCCTCCACGTGGGAAGCACGGCACAGCTCAGAGCTGCTCCTGGACCTGGGACTGACCACTGCTCTTGTAGGCATCAATTACTGCCCTGATGAAAACCTTGCAGTAGCCAAGGAAGGGAGAATGGAGAGGAGGGAGTTAGAGTTACTGATCTGAAGCTGGGATCAAGGCACAAATGGAATGAGTCTGAGAAAACAGGCTTCAAGAGCTCTGGCCATGGAACAACTTGCTTTCTCTTTACTCAGGGGAAGAAAAGTTGGGGATTACTTTGAAAAAGTTATGTACAAATGCTTGCTGTGATTAAAAGAACAAGTCCAGGACAGAGCGCATACAGATGTTAACAATGGTTTTACCTCAGCAAATTTACTAATGAGTCTAATAGGATTAAAAATCAAGGAATCATAACACTGGCAAAAAGCTTTGCAGCTTAAGTTGATATAATAAATGTGTACCAATGCAGAAAATGTTGCATAATCAAAGCTGTACACAATTCAGCTGGGATGCTCCTGTGTTTTAAGTTCAGCATTTATGAGCACTGAAATCATATCAAAAGCTACAAAGAAGAAACAACAGAACAGAACTGAGAAAAGAGAACTATCTTCCTTAATTGCCTAGCAGAGATAAACAAGGAACACCAGGCAGCACAACATTAAAGTTTACACTTCCATGACTAAGCTTGAATGACAGGATTAAAGTAATTACCTTTTCACTTTCAAGGGTTTGAGGATAAATTTATTCTGAACTGGTGTCATGAGGACACAGAAAACACTGTTATTTCTCCATGTAGTAAAAGGTGAATTGAAAGGAACAAGTATTTCAAAACCTTCATGGTAAGTTTTCAAACTGTTAATATTAATTTCAGCATGATTATTTGGATGAATAAAGTTATTAACATACATAAGCACTGAAAGCATTGTTTTCACACTAAATCCTGACTACAGAACTACAGAAAGTATTTCTTAAGACTATGAGTACAGATGTTTACCTCTTCATTGATATACCAATATAGAGATGTGTCCTTCAAGACAAACCAGTACTTCTTCCATTTTTGGGAGAAATAACTCTTGGCATCTTTCTTTTTCCAAAGCCAGCCTTCACAGTCCCCTCGACCAAGATCTTTACATGAGATCCGTCTTTTGCTTTTACCAGGAATAGGAGCTGAAAATGACAACAAGGTGATGTGAAAGCATTTGATTTGTCCACTAAATCAACAAAACACCTACATAGTCCCCTATATAGTCAGAAAGCACTATATATCTGTTTGAGAAAATTAATTAAAAATTTCAACCTCAAATTGCCATGAAAAATTATTACAAGCATTCTATTTTGACCACAAAACTTATGCACACCACCATAATTTAAAGGCCAAAGCAAATCAAACCAAACCATGTTCAGCACCTCAGAGCTCATATCCTATGGATAAAAAAAAAAAAAAAAAAAAAAAAAAAAAAAAAAAAAGAAAAAAAAGAAAAAAAAGAAAAAAGCAACACAGAAAGAGGAGAAGACAGAAGACACTATAGAGAAAAGAAAGGCAAGATATTTAAAAATAAGAAAAATGCTTATTTGTAATTGTCAACACATTTCCCATAAGAATAAAGCGCACAACATATAAATTCATGTACTTCCCACTTGGTTATCAAACACAACTATTTAAGTACTTCACAGGTGTTCACAAACCTCTCTTTGCAGCTCTTTTTGAAACTATACAGTTCCTAAGGCCTTTGTACTTTAAAATCAAAGGAGGAAAATTTACTATGATATAAATTACCTGAGTGCGTAGGTAATGAGCAAGTGCTGCAGTGAGGCATTACCTGAACACAGCTGGAAAAACCAACCCTGGCCCCAAAGAGGCTAGAGTCTAAGTATTCAAAAAAGAAGATAAAAGCAGATACATGAAGGTAGAGGAACATTAGGAAACTATGAGACATCAGAAATGGACTAATACATTCTCAACATGATCAACTGAACTGAGCATTTTATTGGAGCTAGTAAGTTACAGTTCCTCCCATACTGCAATGCAATTAATCTTGGTAATTCCCTTCCTACCCATATATGGAAACAAATTTATTTTTTACCTTTGTTCTTCTTTTTACTTTTCTGCTGTAGAGAAGACTGCTGAAATGTCTACAAGAAAATCAAAATGGAAGAAGTTAAAATACAATGTTCATATTCAACCACATACCTATAATAAAAGAAATATTATGTTAAGGCCTAAGAAAAAAGGTGATTTTAGTTCACCTGTTCATAAGGTTGTAAAGCAAAAGCACACTTTAAAACACCTCAAAACACATCAAACCAACTGTAGTTTCTGTGCAAAATAGTCACTCTCATCTTGTTCTGTTAATAAAGAAGGAATATTGCTCTTTGTTTACTACAATAATGAAGCTACACTGCCCATGTATTTCTAATGTAGGCACTAAATAAAGTATTCTTGACATCTATACATAAATAAGCAAAATAACACACTGCCTAATGCAGGTGTGGAAGTATTCATACAACGGTCATCAGACAATTTTCTCAGATCCAGGCCTAGTATTCTGAAAGACATCAGTAAATTCTGCTTAATCACAACTGGGAAAAAGTCTCCCAAGTAAAAAGACTGAACTAGAACTTTATTTTTTCACCAGGTTTTTAAGTGGAAGTATTTCCCTTCAGCTGATTCACTCCCAGAAACTAACCCACTCCCTTGACAATGAGACAGGATGGAAATTGCTCCTTTATTTAAGACCTTAGCTTATTAATAAAATCAGTAAGTATTAATGCATTTTATAACCATTTCTGTTTAAAAACTATGACTCAGATAAGCACAATTCCCAGTGAACTAAAAAAAAAATCTGTAATGAATCAGCCAAAATTTAAAGACGTGATTTGACTTGTTTTGAACTTTAGTTTTCTAGAAAGGCAGACAAATGTTATCAGTGTTAAAACTACAAAAAGGCTACATTAGAGTGTCTGCTTATTAAAACTTCCTATTTCAGCTTGCCAGGAATCAATACAGAAATCAATACTTTTGTGCCACCTGGTAAAAATAAATCAAAGCAAAAGCACTGACAGCTCTGCAATTCCAAATCCTGGTCCTAGTAGTAAGACAAACCCTCGTCCTAGTTTACAAGACTAGGTTCAATTCAAAGAGCAGCTTTGGCTTTGCACATGGCACTCAGTGCTATGGCTTAATTGACATGATATTTGGTTAAATGTTGGAGTCAATGATCATTGAGTTCTTTTCTAACTTCAATGACTGTTGAAATTTTCTCCTCCCTGCTTCCCACACCCCTGAGCTCATGTGCAGCAGATTCAGCTTCAAAGGGATCTCTTGCCTCACCGCTGAGAGATTTTTGTGCAGCAAAAACTAACATGCCTATTGGGAAAAATTATTAGCAAGACAATAATTAAGTGTAATTAAAAAATTTAACTGACTTACTAGATGTGCTAATTCCTTGGAGACCATATCTGGGTTTACTCCACTACATTGCTACCTCAGTGGGTCAGAGTAGGCCTCCACTGGGAGGTAAAGAAAGGATCCCATTCATTTTCATTTCCTGGCTCTTGTCCTTTTTCTTCTGCTACTGGTACCAATTAAATCAGCACCAGCTCTCAACAAACCATGACAGCAACACCCATCCCACTTACATCACACGAAATATTTCAACCTGCGAAGGACTAGAAGAGATCTTAATGACCCAGGAATAACAGAGTGGCTGAGCAGAATTGTGTAACTCCCTCTGAAAATCTTACTTAATTCAAAGTGGATGAAAAAATACATACACATACAAATCCAAAACTTTAGCCCTTCTCAGTTCACAACTCAGACAATTTCATTCTGCTGTTTGACTTCTCTGCACTATTATTTTCACAGTGTCGAAACAGAAAATCTCTGCTCCATTTTCTCACAAGTAATTCTGAGAGCAGGTGAGAACATATGAAAAGCCTTCTCTTTAGATGTTTTGTCTGTAAATTGAACTTGCAAACCTCAGTTCACACCTTTTTACTTCTGAGTCAGTTTTTGGGAAGAAAGGGTAATGAAAGGGTATCAGTTTTTAACAGGAAGAAAGCATATAATTTACATGTCTAACCATTTTCCCATACATTATGTTATATTGCAAAATAGAAAGGTTTTATTAAATTCAGCTATTATTCTAAATTAGCTCATTGAATTAAATCATAATTAAGGGCAAATTCTACAAGTGAGAGAAGTTCCTGGGAACTATTTAAACTGCAGTGAGTTTAACTAACACTTTAGATTATTTTACATAGACTTCAGGCTTCAAGTTAGTTGACCCTTTGCAAAAAACAGCACTATCTTTTTACTTAAGAAAATGTATATGTAATATAAAATATGTAATTAGAGAACAACAACAACAAAACCAAAAGAGTGAGGATGAAATCTAAAAATGCTTTACAACACTTCTTTTGTTGCTTTTTTAGGAACTCACTGAACACAATCTACAGCCTCTGCAGTTGGAAGATAATGCTTAGAGCCGTTTTCTCAGCAGTTTCAGGAGATCATGTCCTTCCTCCTGATCAGAGCAAGGCTTGCTTTGAAGCCAATACTGGATCCTGTTCTGAGTCATATCTAGCCTAGATAAACTATCTCCAAAGAGCTTCTTTAAGCAACTGTTGGCCACCATAATGTTTCCCCTTTTGCAGCTTAGTTCTGTGATGTGGCAAATATGGAAATAATGTAACTACTACTTCTGAATTCCATGAACCCTAAATCCATGGATTTACACCAAAGCAAGAAATTTAGTTGTATTAATACAAACTCGCTGTAACACAGTGTTTAATCACTCGCCCACAAAGCCAGATTCAATGTATGTTCACTGCATTTTGATTCTGATACACCTTGAGCTTTGAGTAACTGCTTTCATAAATATCTTTTCCCAGTTTCCAAGAATCCATCTCTTCTACTAATTCTGAGGGCAAGCATGAAATGAAATAGAAAACAGCATTCCATATTAAAGAAAGTAGTTATTAACTCAAAATAATGAGTAAAATTGAAACAGTACAGACACTAAAAAGATGAAATAGATGAGTACCTTAAGACAAGTGGAAATTGGCACTCCTGAAGAAAATTTCAAACTGTTTAATAATATTCTGAATTATATGCTTTCTAGTCTCCAAAATACAACTAGAATAACTTTTCATTACCCAAAAGCAAGGTGTCAATTGATGTTTAACATACATCAAAACCCCTCTGAATACACTGAGACTCAGTGTGTTTTTTAGACACAATGATTTTCTCCTGTAATGTGTGATCTTTGAGCTTTCTCTGTTTAATAATACATCTAGATTATCGACAAGTGCAGCTCTGAGGAGAATATAAAAGAAACATTTAACATATATATAAAGTCTGCCTTTCCTATTAGCAGCCTCAAAGAACAAGTATTTTAAGAGCCCATTTATTAAAGGGTTTTTTCTGTTTCTGGTTTGGTGTTTAAGTTTTTGTGGGGTTTTTGGGTGAAGTTTTTTGTTTGGTTTTTGTCTGTTTGGTTTTTCTTACAAATGTTCTAGCATGCCTCTAGCCCTACCTAGCTGCAAATTCCAATACCCAATGGAGATTTAATTGGGCAGGGAAGAGCCTTATCAGTCCCTCTCTTCCTGCAAGTGTTCATTACCAAACTTGCTGTGTGGGTTGCATTTACTCTAACAGTCTTCAAAGCTGCAAATTCCAATACCCAATGGAGATTTAATTGGGCAGGGAAGAGCCTTATCAGTCCCTCTCTTCCTGCAAGTTCATTACCAAACTTGCTGTGTGGGTTGCATTTACTCTAACAGTCTTCAAAATGATTGACAGAGTTCCAAAAGGCCAGCAGACTGCACACCTGTAAAGAGCAACCTGCCCCAGGGCAAGCCTTTTACGACTACAGCACAGCAATGCAGCTGCATTGTAAAAAACTTGCAGGTGTAGGCTCATACTAACCAAAGAGATTACCACTGGCCTGTAATTGTACTTGCTCTTTAGCAAGAAAATAATCCTGTACAGGTGGTCTAATCAATACTATCTGTGTGCACACAATCACACATCAGCATCTTTGTAACACAACATTTTCAAGAAATGAGACTATCATGTTTCTGTCTCATTCTCAGAGATATTCAGGTTTCTCTTCTGGGAGAAAGTATTTATTATTGGTTAGTCCTGTGACTGCTCTGTATTTGCTCAGAAGGGAAACAAGATTGAAAGTTAGTCACTAATGTTCAGAGGCCTGAAAATTTATTTGATATTTGTTTATTTTGTAGTAATTTCATAGCTCTCTATTTGGAAAAAATGTATTTAAATGAAAGTGTGTAATTATTTAAGTTTCAATGAATTTGTTTTATGCCAAATAGGAAACTTAATAAACTGATCTTTCGATACTAATATTAAGTTGGAGTGAAACTGCTATCAGAAGAGGAGAATGTTTGCTAAAACTGTTATGATGATTAGAAAACTTATAGTCCAGTTGATAGCTCAAATAAAAGTAGAAAAAAAGCAGACTGGTTATCAAAATGATAAATTTGAGAAGATAAGTTATTTTGACAAACTTCAAGAGTCTGAGGAAGATGTCTAAAGATTTGAGGTTAAGCTGCTCCTAATATCTAATATAAATTAGATAGGTGTGATCAACAGAATGTTACATCCACGTCCAAAAAATAAACATATTCTGATAGTTATATAAACTTCTTCATGGTTACACAATTTGTACCAAAAAAAGACCACAACTGAAGATTCTCTGAAGAATGACCATAGCAACAAGTACCTTATTGGACAGCACCTAAAATTCTCATTCAAGGGTTTTTTTGTTTCTCCACTATTCTTCAGAGATTTTTCACTCAATCATTTTAAAAAAGCTGGAAGAGAGAACCAAGTAATGGAAAAAAAAATATCCAATCCTTCTACCCAAATCTGAGCTCAGTCTGATTGGAATGGAAAATGGTACATATCTTTATAGCTTTATTTAGAGCTTGGGTCAAATCCAATATTTCTCAAGGTGTAAGTTTAGACACTAAGGAACTGTTTACAGGCAGGCACTTCCCCTCTGTCACTGTAAAATAGCTTTCTCTAGTTTCAGCAGGGTAGCTTGTAACACATCTGATTACTGGAACTTTCTGTTGCAGTTGGAAAAGCCAGTGTCTAGGAAAAAATG